TAGACAACATTGAACTCCTCTGAAACGTCATCAAAAACAAGCATTTGATAACACTGAAACCATTCTTTAGCAAGTACTAGACAACATTGAACTCCTCTGAAACGTCATCAAAAGCAAGCATTTGTTAACACTGAAACCATTCTTTTGCAAGTACTAGACAACATTGAACTACTCTGAAACGTCATCAAAAGCAAGCATTTGATAACACTGAAACCATTCTTTAGCAAGTACTAGACAACATTGAACCCTCTGAAACGTTATCAAAAGCAAGCATTTGATAACACTGAAACCATTCTTTAGCAAGTACTAGACAACATTGAACTCCTCTGAAACGTCATCAAAAGCAAGCATTTGATAACGCTGAAACGTCATCAATCAAATTACTTCAAAGAAAATTGCGAGCTTCTCAATTGACCCAAAATTTGGTCCTAACAAGTGTCCTGTTTACCTAAGACTACCATGGATTGGTAACATTTCAACAAAATTTGAAAAACAACTGAAAACGGCCATCACTGTAGTGAATCCCTACTGTGCTTATTCCACACGTAAGTTGTTGTCTGCAACACACAAAGATGCGATACCTACCATACAGAAAAGTATGGTTATTTATGAATTCTCGTGCACTTCGAATGTCGGCACGTAGGTCGCTCTTCACAAAGACTGCAGGATAGAATTAAACAACAAGTACCCATATCCATAAGAAATAAGAGTGTGAAAGAAAAGAATTTACCATGTCGCTCCTGTAAAACAAAAGTTTTACCACCAAAATGTGAATCAGCGATTGGCCAGCATTTACCAGTGAACCCGACTTGTGCTGACAATTACACGGATAGCATATTTGAAATTATTGCAAATGGTCGGTCGACCTTTCATCTCTATATTTTGGAAGCCACCTTTATTAAAACACATAAACCTGTCCTTTGCCGCCAAAAAGAATTCCTATACAATCTACACATCCTTCAGTAGGTCTGTGACATTTCCTGATTGGCTAAAGGCCATGCCAATCAGTTATTGCCTTACCAGCCTACGTTGATCTGACTCATTTTATAAGCTGTACTATTGTCTATAGATCATTTTCCAGGCGGTTCTGCTATGATTAGTGTCTGGAGAAAAGCTTCAGCAGATATTTCCTTTGCAACATCTCAACCAATAATTGGCCCAGTTATCAACGCTATTTTCAAGTTTTGAACAACTCGACTTTCAAGATCTATGTATCTACATGTGCCGATGTTTCCGTTTATCAACGTTATATTTTAAGATCTGTGCAAGAACTCAGCTAACAGATTTTTCCGCATATAAAAGCTATATTCAAGTTTTGTACACACACACACAAAAAAACGTTTCAAGTAATTAAAGGTGTGTTACTCTTACATCAGTGGTGGTAAAAGTTTTTGAAAGTCTGATAAAAGATTCTCCACAAAGACATTTAACAAAGTTGAAAAATTGAAGGATAATCAACATGGATTCACTAAGAATATCAAAATCTTTTGATATTCTTTGAGAAGGATGCTGTTTACGTAGATGAGGGTAAGTGTGTGGATCTGTATCTGCAGAGCCTGTTTGACAAGGTACTACATAAAAGGCTTGATAAAGATTATCTATATAGTTGTAAGGATAAAATCGAATAGAAATATAGCAGGATAGAAGAAAGCAGAAGGCTTTTATACATGGAGTTCAATCAAACTTGATTAATGTCACAAGTGAGGTAGCTCAGGACTTATTGTTAAGACCTTTGATCTTTTTGATTTAAACCAACAACATAGATGTCAACAAATCACTTAAATTTGTTGATTATTTAAGGGTATTATGTGTTACAGACTATGAGGAGGAGGATGCTGCTGCTTTATAAAAGGATTTAGATTATTTGGTAAGTTAGGGATAAATGATAAATGGCTGTTAATTATGACAAACACAAAGTACTGCGTGTTATGTAATTTGAATTACAAGTATAATTTTGATGGGAATACCCTTAACAGAAGTATACTTTTGATGGGAATACACTTAACAGAAGTATAATTTTGATGGGAATACCCTTAACAGAAGTATATTTTTGATGGAAATACTCTTAACAGAAGTATAATTTTGATGGGAATACCCTTAACAGAAGTATACTTTTGATGGAAATACTCTTAACATAAGTATAATTTTGATGGGAATACCTTTAACAGAAGTATAATTTTGATGGGAATACCCTTAACAGAAGTATAATTTTGATGGGAATACCTTTAACAGAAATATACTTTTGATGGAAATACTCTTAACAGAAGTAAAGTTTTGATGGGAATACCCTTAACAGTGCAACTGAAGAATATAATCTTGTTGTTCTGGTTGACTCGGTCTCTTAAGTCATTCAAGTATTGAGCTGTTGCTAGTTGTATGGTCAAATACGATGTTAGGTTGGTTCTGTCGACACAAATATTGAACATAGGACTAAATAGGTTATAATTTCATTGGAATATGTCATTGGTTAGGTCCCACTTGGATTATTTTGTTCAGTCTTTGGCTCCTTAATATAAATAAAAGTGTTCCATTTCTTATAGATGTTTGTAAGTATTCTTCAAAAACTAAAAAATAACAACTGAATTTCAAATTAATTTATAGACGCACTACTCAGGATTCTTGGGCTACGTTTGAAAAACTTTGAAATCTTCGAAAAAGCACGTTGATTCTCCTGAGAAATACGACACAATTTTTTCTAGTTTATTAAATATTTGAGCTGTACTTATGTTATTTTTATGCACTTTAAAGGTGAGTTCATGTTTAATTAAGCATATAACTCCAGATTCAAATAAATATTTTCTTAAGCTGATGATATAGTTCCTTCATCTTTTAAAATTTTAATCCGTACTTAATGATCTTTCACAAGTCTTTAAACTAAAATATTAAACCTTCAAACGAACCTTTAGGACTGAGTTCCATGAGGCCAAGGTAGAATGTCCCTTGTCTTACTAAAATATTAAACCTTCAAACGAACCTTTAGGACTGAGTTCCATGAGGCCAAGGTAGAATGTCCCTTGTCTTACTAAAATATTAAACCTTCAAACGAACCTTTAGGACTGAGTTCCATGAGGCCAAGGTAGAATGTCCCTTGTCTTACTAAAATATTAAACCTTCAAACGAACCTTTAGGACTGAGTTCCATGAGGCCAAGGTAGAATGTTCCTTGTCTTACCACAACTTCATGAGCAATGATAGCAAAGGAGTAAACATCTCCTTTTTGCGTGCCCTCTAGTGGTGGATTAGACATACGCAATAGTTCGGGAGCTGTCCACAGTTTTCCTAGGCGTTTAGAAATTGTATCAGAACAAAATGAAATATTGTTTAATGTTCTATATGTACATTAAAACTTAATATCATGCATAATCTACACACTTACAAATACATAATAACACTAAAAGTTTCTTTTTAGTTTAATTGGGCTCTTGAAGTCTATTTTTGTCCATGAAAGCATGCGTTTTTTACTTTAGACAAAAGAGAAAAGTAATAAATGCTACATACGAGATTAAAGAAATAATTTTATTTCTAAGATTGAAAGATCAGAAGTGAACCAAACTTCTAGCTTTTAGATGCCGAACACGAATAAAAGTTCGGTTGATTAAAATAAGTCTACCTTAAAAACGTTGGATATCTAGCTTGTTCTTTTAAAAAGGTTTCAATGTTAACGTTTATTTCAAGTACATTTGATAAGTTTTGGGTGAAAGACGACAGAAGTTAGATGTTATGATTGGTGTAAAGAATGAAAGACTGAGTAAATGTTCAGTCGGTAAACAGATTTCAAAAAAAGTCAATAGAGATTCTGTTTGAAATAATGAATTTATGGGTCACTGATTAATTAGGCAGTAGAATGTGGCAGTAGCTAAGAAACGATGTAGTGGGATATTTTCTTTGGCAAGAAACGTTTACAGATCTAAATTTATTTTAAAAGTTTTGAACTACGTGATTCGAAAAGGACAATGGAAGGCATTGGGAAAGATGTAATTAAGAAATATATGATGATGAGAGACAATGGAAGACATTGGGAAAGGTGTAACTAAGAAGTATATGATGATGAGGGACAATGGAAAGCACTGAGAAAGGTGTAACTAAGAAGTATATGATGATGAGGGACAATGGAAGACATTGGGAAAGGTGTAACTAAGAAGTATATGATGATGAGGGACAATGGAAGACATTGGGAAAGGTGTAACTAAGAAGTATATGATGATAAGAGACAATGGAAGACATTGGGAAAGGTGTAACTAAGAAGTTATATGATGATAAGAGATAATGGAAGACATTGGGAAAGGTGTAACTAAGAAGTAGATGATGATCATAAAGGAGACATCTGCTGAGTAACCTTTATTCGATCCGTATGTTTTGACAGTACCAAAAATATGAGGGATGAAACCTGTTTTTTAAGAATGTGTGAATACTTTTATATATTATATCATCAGTAGGAACGAGAACGATTTCACTTTATTTTCTTGTTATTATAAGTGAACATACTTCTCCAGTATGCGTACGAATCCAAGTTTCCGTTCTCCTTGTAAATTCGAAAGCCATGGAGACCGAAGTCCTTGATCTTCAATACGAACCTACTGTCAACCACGCAATTGGGAGACTTGAGGTTACCATGGTAACGTATTTCGCTGTTGTGTAAATAAGTCATACCCTGGAACAAAAAGTAACTTAAACGTTGAAGCTTACTTTTACGTACCTGCAATGTTCCAAGCCTATAGAAGCTGTTAGATTTAAAAAGAGCGCAACGTTCAAAGTATTCCTACATCTGGAGAATGGATTCGGGAAAATAATAATTAATGTTTGATTTACAAATGGAACAAAAATTAACACAATCTAGATGTCGTGCTATGTAACAGATAGGGATGAGTGACAATGCTTGGGACGTTATAATTGAATTTGGTAGTCTAATGATAAATTTAATGTTATTTTATCACGTAACAGATCAAAATCAAATCTGCCAATCTGTCTTCTACAAAGGAACTAACTTTCACTATACACCGCTTAGCTTCAGATGTCATAACAATACTTCAAAATCTTTCAGAGCTTATTTTTTTTAAAAAAAAGTAAAAGACAATCAGACGTTTACTTGCAGATAGTTTTTATGCATTAGAACGATAATGTGAAGTTGAATAATCGCCATGATGACTTAAAAGAAAAACTCTTAAACGTTTTATAATTTGCAATCACAAAAATATAAGTGTGTGGTACTTTTTACTCCTTTTAACGTCAAACGAAAGTTATTATGTTGAATTGAACCTAAACTTCAAGAGTCATTTATCTCTCGAAGAGCAAAGAATACTGAGAAGTTTGTAACAACTTTTTATTTAAACTGAAGATTATTATGTAACCCTGTTGTTAGGTTGATATTAGATATTATACACTCACCTTTATTAAATCATGCATAAGTGAGTACCGGAACATCCAGTCAAGCTTTATCTCGTCATTCTCCAAGATATCCTTACAAAGAACATCAATAAAAAAACGAGTTCTTTCATCAGGAGTGTTACACCCAGATGTAGGCTGGTAAAACAAGGTATCTAACACTCGTACTATATGGACTTTCAATTTACCTTCCTATTAACGTTATTTTTTTACCCAGTTTAATTGCTGAAATATATCCGTCCCCCACCAAAAGAAAAAAACAACAACAAAAATTGACCCGTTTGGAAACATTGTTATCATAAGATTTTAACGTAACGTTTCATCACTCTAATAATTCTGGTAAAAGCTAAAACTTCTCATTCTTGGAGAGAAAATACAAAAGAAGAAATGAGGTCCGGCCTTTTATTCAAAACGTTTATTATTTTGATTTTTGGGGGATTGTTTGTTTGTTTGTAATTAAGCACAAAGCTACACAATGGGCTATCTGTGCTCTGCCCACCACGGGTATCGAAACCCGGATGCTAGCGTTGTTAGTCCGCAGACATACCGCTGTGCCACTGGGGGGAGAGCGAATTTGGCGGATAATAAAACGTTAGAGTTCGAAATAAAATAGATTGGTTAAATTCTAGAGTTTCAAATCTTGGGTGAGAATCAATGACAGAAATCAGGAACCGTAAGTAAAATAGATTGGTTAAATTCTAGAGTTTCAAATCTTGGGTGAGAATCAATGACAGAAATCAGGAATCGTAAGTAAAATAGATTGGTTAAATTCTAGAGTTTCAAATCTTGGGTGAGAATCAATGACAGAAATCAGGAACCGTAAGTAATAACGTGATTAAAACATTATGTGAGATAAAGAATAAAGACTAATCAATAAGAAACTAATAGTCACACCACCTCACACAAGTGCTGTAAAGTTTCTTTTCGGGATAATAAATAATCTTGCAAGTTTCCTGTATAGTTTGAAATATAATATACTAAAGCTAGAATCACACGGTTTTACTTATTTGCGTCAGATCACCTTAATCAACCTGGAGGGTTTCTTGAATCAATAATACATTTAAGGGGATGGGCATTATGGAATCTTGAGTCAATAGTACACTTAAGGGGATGGGCAGTTAGTGCTTCTTGAATCAATAGAACACTTAAGTGGATGGGCAGTTAGTGTTTCTTGAATCTATAGAACACTTAAGGGGATGGGCATTAGGGTTTCTTGAATCAATAATACACTTAAGGGGATGGGCATTAGGGTTTGTTGAATCAATAATACACTTGAAACTTGAAATAGATACGACAATTACTGACTGGATTTTATTTGTACATTCGAGAAGATCATTGTTAAATGGATTCCTGGAACTGAGATTATTTGGAGAGATCAGGAAGTAACAAAATATTTAACTGCTTTTATATTTAGGCCTGACAACGGCCTGGTGGTTAGGGCTCTCGACTCCCAATCTGACGGTCACCGGTTCGAATCTCCTTCACTGACCATACATGCCCTTTCAGCCGCGGGTCCATCACACTATTAGTTGGTAAAATAGTAGCCCAATAGATGGCTGTGGGTGGTGTTAACTAGCTGCCTTCCTTCTAGCGTATCACTGTTAAATTAGGGACTGCTAACGCATATAGCCCTCGGGTAGCTTTGCGCGAAATTCAAAACAAACTAAACCAGCTTTTATATTTAAGTGGTGAAATACAGAGAAATAATGTTAAACCACCATTTTCAATAATTTTGAAACATAATATTTTGTAGATATAGTGAGCTGTTTTATATGGTAGAAAAGTTGTACTTTTCAGTAAAGCAGGAAAAACAAGAACATCTGATATCTATATTTCTTGATATCCACCAATGAATTTGTAAACTCGTAAGAAACACTTTTATGTGTTCTAATTCATTTTATAGTTGCAGCCGTCGGAATGCGATATATTTCTTTTCTTAAAAAAAACAACAACAAAATAATAGCTGCATAGTTTCAGCATTACAAAGATTACGTTACAGAATCCCTAAGTTACCCAAAGCTAAAAAAAAACTTCAATTAGTGAACGCAAGAAAGTCAATTCATCACTTACTTGCAAACTTCCTTTTGGGCAGTATTCCGTTACCAAGCAACAGTGAGGAGGATCTATGCATGCTCCAATAAAGCGCACAATGTGGTCATGTTGTAGATCCTTCATCTATCACCCACAACATACTATATCAATACTTACAACAACGTTCATCAATAAACAATCTAACAATATAATTGGAAAAGCTATAAAAAAAAACACGGCGAATGGTGATGATTTTATGAGGTACTTTTCGGTGTTGTGAGGCACCAAATTAAAGGAGCAAGAATCTCATTTTTTTTTTGAGTCGATTTTATGTGACTTGAACTACCTATCTATCAATCAATAAAGAATTGGGAAAACCCAATTTTGTAAATAAATCATGATGGGTACAAACATGACGTAATGTATTTGATCATAAATGTAGCTAATCTTTTTATTAATTTTGATAACAAATATGCCCTAAATGTACAGTTTACATCTCTATGAGTAATTTTAGAAAGAAATTAGAAAGTGCCTGGAATTTGCAAATTTGACGATATAAAACAATGAGTTTATCTCGTACTTGAAGGAACGTTTAAACACACTATATTATTTAATTTTTAGACTAGATTATCAAAAAGCTCAGCGAGTTACAAGAACTATTTTAACGCGGAATGTTTTAAGTGTTAAGAGGATTTGTTTGTTTGTTTTGAATTTCGCGCAAAGATACACGAGGGCTATCTGCGCTAGCCGTCC